ATAAAAGTTGTAACGCATTTAAGATTCAGCTTACGCTCGTTTTTTTCAACTTGCTCGCGAATGAAAGTAAAATAGATCCTATAAAGAAAGTATAAAATAGGGAATAGAACGAAGCTAATTTTAATAATTGGCCAATGAACGCTAACGCGAATCCCCTTTTTACGCGTTTTTCCATTATTCAATTTTCTTCTCCTATAATCTACCTTTAACGGGTAAATCAAATTTCATTCAATTTGCATTTTACCGTAAACGGGTAAAGCGACGTACGATATATATCGTAAAAGACACGGTATAGATATAACATTTTTTTTTTTAATAAGAAAGCGATTTTAAGATCGAGCGATACATTAGCGTACGTTATCGGTATTTTAACTTTCGATTACGATTTTGGATCGAACGTAGTCCGAGTTCTTCGACTAGGAACTTATTAAATATGTGACATCGTTTAAATGGATCTCTTCCTGATGTACGTTAAATATTTAGCTGAAAGAAACAACTCGTACAACTGGTTTATTTAACTAATATCGCAAACAAGACGAAAAACTTGTTCAAAAAGATCCCGCAGCAGCAATGAGACTAACTGAAATACACGTTCTAATATAACGACACCCTAGTGTATCATTAAGCGTGAGGAATTACTACCTTCAAACGCATCGTTAAATAGCACGTGAATAGTATTTACATAATGGTATTTTTATAACGTTTAACCTAACTATATACTATAATAATTTATAATCTGATAGCTACCTAGCTAATAATGGAAAAAAATTCAACATAAATTGCAAACCGCGTGGGCTGTCAGTCGAGTCGCCCAGTGAGTCAGTTTTCCCTAAGAGTTTCATTCTACTGTACTTTCTACGGTTGTGGCATTCGACCTTCTATATTTCATCATTTTCCAGCGTCATTTCGCCATTCTTTCATCAGGAATGGGATTCTCTTAAAACAAGATCGATAGATTCGTCAGGGTTTACGTTCCACTTTAAACTAATTAAGGCAGAATGAGAAAATTTCTCCGGAGTACTCGACTGTAATAATCAAACTATCCTGTTCGGTAAGGATCGTTACCGAGCAACCTTGACGTGGAAAAATCGATTCGTAGCGTTTCAGTAACAAGGTTTCGAAGGATCGTCCGAGCGAATAACGCATAACTGACTGTAAATACTGTAATTCGATTCGATTGCCGTAGCAGCGTGTACCGATCGTGCATTTCATGCACGTGCGTTGGACAAATGGGATTAGTCGGGTGACGAAAGTGTCCGCTCGGAACGGAACCGATCGTGCCGCTTGAAATTCCACGATGACGCAGAAGGAAAAGTGGTGGCCGGTGGAACAGTTAGCCGGGACCGCGAGCACAGCTCTGTTCGCCATGGCACCTGAGAATTTCTTGCTGCACGCGAATCACAAAGAGTCTTTGCTGGCTGATTGACCTGACGCGAGATCGATTCGCCTAATGAAGCCACCTGGTTAGAACGAAACGCGATTCCGATTCTCCCATTTAAAGAGATCCGTCTTCTTCAGTTCTCTATGGAGAGAAATCAATTTCGTCGAGGAATTTCAATATATCGTAAATCAATATAAACGTTCTCTTCGATTAAATTCGATAAAAATACTTAGCTAATGCTAACCGCAGGAATTATCCGGATTTTCTTTTTATAGAATATCGATAAAGAAATATTTGTTTCTTTATTTTTTTTTTTAAGTAAATGGTTCGTACTTTCCATTTGATAAACCATTCGGTCACATAATGTCACGGCATCGCAATACTATGAACTGCATCGTGTACAGTACCCTGTTAAATGATCGGAGAAGGACGAATGGAAGCATGGTTGTCACGTGGGCATAGGTCGAGTTTTTATCATGCTCACGGGGCTCATCGTGAATTGTGCCGCACTTATAGCGAATTCGTAGGCGTTAAATAATGTTTCCTTAGTCAATTTATTGTTAGTGCCGGTTCGATATAACCTGTGCTGGCCAGCACGAACCGCATATTTACGATCGGACGGTAAAGCTCGCTTAGGCGTGTGCGTTGCGCTATTTGTTACGATAAATTGGAGCAGACCAATTTGTCTGGAACTCTCGGTTCCACGGAATGATCATCCTTATTGTCGACGATAACGATCCTTCGTTGAAATAATTTACCGTATCGGTATAGAAGTCCCGAGACAATATGGAAGAGCGTTTTTCCTCTCGTGGCACCCGTCTAGAGCGATAATTTATCGTTTTTAAGAAAATGTATTACGTCTTTTGCGGCGTATCTCGTACGTGTACGTTGAAATTTTCATGGTCGTCAGAAGGTTAGGCAACGTGATTCGGTTCTGTATTAAAATTCTGTAAGCGTCTACTATTCTAATCAACGATTAAGCTCGATAATATCACGTAACAATTATGCTGTATAATAAATCGCAATTACTTTATGCGAAATGCGATATATTATTCGGTATAATATACAAAATCCAATCCGTCAGATCGAACTAGATTTTAGATCTCAGCGTTCGGTTCATAATACGAGATGAATCTTTCAAATTGTGCTCTTCCATCGTCTCATTAGTGAACGACATTTATACACATGCATCAACGTTTACTCCAGATGGAAAGGTCAGTGTAGAGCCAAGCGTAATTTCTCGATTATGTTTTAAAGAACTGGAAACAGTGATTCATTGACGGATCGTTGGAAACGTGGGCCGAACACGGTCGGCGTCAATAGTAAAAGTGTGGCAATCGGCGTAGCAATTTTCCCCGATGAATCAACGATCTCCGCACGCGACGCACATACATAAAAACGAAATTCGTAGCTGATTTCTTCGACGCTTGACGTCACCGTCGTTGCAACCTCCTTTCGTCGCGGCCAGCAATCGACAGGTTAATCCGTTAGGCGTCGCTTCAATAACTCTGTCGTGTTGCAACTATCGAGTAACAAGGCAGGTATGCTAACCACCATGCCCACTGCCCACTCGTGACGTTTTCATTAGATCGTCCGAAGAGGTCGAGGACGGATAATCGCTTTCGACTGAGGTTAAAATAGTCTTGAAATCGTTTGGACGTACGCGTATATGATTATTCCAATAAACGCGTTATCTCGACATTTTTGTAAAAATGTTTTTATTTACAGGCGAATGTAGAAAATAAGAGAGATATATTATTTATGGTACGACCCGATAAATATACTTGCAACTCTACGCGCGATTAAAGCAACAAGGAAAAAGAAACAGCAGGGTAAAGAATCGATTTATTTCACGATCATTTTTTTTTTTTTTTTTTTTTTTT